TATTTCTGTTAGAAATTGGTCAAAACTTTGAATCTTTTTTTTTTAAGCTCCAGCGAATCGCTTATACAAAATCAGTAATAAGGTTTGAAGAGTACATGAAATTGAGGAAGATTTAGTTCCTAAATCCTAATAAAGGTGATATTGGGTGATATCGTGGTCATATCTATAATAGATATAATAACTGCTTTATTTCTATGTCTTTTTGTGCTCCTCAATTCAAAACCAAGGAACAAGCTGAAGCACAGTTGCATAAAGGAAAGTCCATGAAATCCAAAACAATTTGTTCAAGTAGACAGCTCTCTGATGATCTTTTTCCATGAAAAAATAACTTAGAATATAGAGAAAAATGGATAGTCTTCATCAGAGCACAACTAGAGCAGGGCTCAGCACTGTGGCTCTGAGTTGTTCAGAGTCGATATATTCCTCGAGGATACCTATGTAATACCTTAATCAATAAAGAAATTAAAAATAAATAAATAAATAAATAAATAAATAAATAAATAAATAAATTCTTCCCGACTGTGTCAGGGCAGGTCCTTCTCAAACTCTGCCCACTGTACTAACTGTTGGGAAGTTAGTCCAAGTTCCTCCTTTATCCTCTACTCCAGGCGTCCTCAAACTTTATAAAGTGGAGGCCAGATCACGGTCCCTCAGAGAGCTGGAGGGCCGGACTATATGAACTACTAATTCCTACTGTAACACCTCAGCTGCGCTCACTGCCCAAAAAACCTGGCGGGCCGGATCAGACTCCTCTGTGGGCCGCATGTGGCCCGCGGGCCGTAGTTTGAAGACCCCTGCTACTCACTAGTTATAGGTGTCGGGTCCCAGCCCCTCTACCTGGGGCTAGACCTCCAAAGATACTGGATTTTAGAGAAGCCACGAGAGATTGTTAGTGTGTAAGAATGAGTCTTTATTGCAGACACCATATAGCCATCAGGCAAAACAACTCCTTCACAGCAAGTTCTGTGCAGGCAGGCAGCCGGATACTGGCTGGTTAACATGTACATCTTTCTCACAAAGCAGCATTAGTCTCTGAACCCACAACTATTATCTAAGCAGCTACAAGCTGCCCCCTAGACTCACCACCTCACATCATAGTGGTACCTAAGATATCTGCCTCAGCAGCTTCTCTAGCCTCTTTGGCTCAGCAGGTTCTCCTATATCTCCTGCCCAGCATACTGGCTACTCTCTGTAACCTCACACAGTAACTACCTCTAAGCTTCTCTCCTAGCTCCAACTCTTCAGCTTCATCTGAGTGCTTCTCTCCTCCCTTTGACTGGTCAATGACATGTATTATACTCCTTAGACCACATGTGTCAAACACAAGGCCCGCGGGCCAAATCCGTCCCGCCAGGCCTTGCAATGTGGCCCGCACCGCGCTGTCATCACTGCACTCCGCTGCGTTTCCATCACAATGACAGTTTATGACTGTTCAGTAAACCATTCGGCCCGCGATTTAGGCTGGATTTTAGATTTTGGCCCCTTCTCTGATTGAGTTCGACACCCCTACCTTAGACAAAGAAGGCCGCATGCCAATAACAACAACATTCATTTTGGCTATAGAAGAGCACAGTGACAGTGAGATCGCTGTGCACCTGCACATAGTCCTTGCATCTGTATATGGTATCTTAGCCTTGAACATTCTGATAATAAGTCCCAGGCTTAGAGTGGCTTTGACTATCCAATGCACTCTAAACAGGGTCCCCACAGCCTTCCATATTCTAAATCAGACTTATGATTAAAAAGCAGAGTTAGGGTAGAGATCCAAGATGGCAGCATAGGTAAACATCTAAACTACTGCCGTGCACAACAATTTCAAAACTACAACTAAAAGACAAAATGCCTATCACCCAGAACCATGGGAAAGCTGGCTGAGTGGAAGTTATACAGCTAGATGGAAAGAGAAAAGAGCATTTAGAGCACAAGCACTGAAAAACTGAGGTACGGGGGTACGCACACAATACAGGCTGGCGGTGGATCCGGGTTGTCAGCGGATCCTGCTGGTGGCAACCATTGCTTTCTTCAACCCAAAGAGAGACAAGTTCCCAATTTCTCTGAAATCCAATTTCTGGGGAGAAGCTGGACTGTCTGCCATTGGATCAGAAAGTGACAGTGGCTTGCTTACAGAGCTGCACATAGAATAAATGTTTGCTTTTTTGGGATGCAAGACACGGGAATGTGGCTGGAGAAGCAGAGATGGTTTACTGGCAGCCATTGCTATTTGCCACACCCTAGTCTAGTGACGCCCTGAGACTCTGCCCCTCACAATCTACAAATACATCCAAGCTCCAAGCAGCGGCTTTTACATATGAATGGCCTTCTCTATTGCAATTTAACCTAGCAAACTTGCAACCCGATGCAGACAGCTCCAAAACCTCCAAGCTCCAAACAGGGGGGAGAGGACTATGGTTCTCACTATAGCTCCTGCAGGGTGGCCTCAGAGAGTAGCTGAACTGAACCCCATTGGAGATCCAGAAGCCAGTGTACTAAGTGGTCATTGTGAGGCACCAGATTTCAACTCTTCACATCCATAAGTTACACATTTGGGAGGAGGACTCAGTGAGCACCAAAGCCCCATGGAAATAAGACCAGCCCCATAAGTGTTTCTCCAGTGCAGCAGTTCTTCCATTATAGACACAGAGGGTCCTCACAGCCAATTGGCCTAGAGATCAATTCCTCCCAGTGTACCAACAGCAATCAAGGTTTAACTACACCAAGACTTTGCACTCAGCCCACAAAGCGGTGTACCAAGAGCAACCACCTTGGGTGATGGGGGAAGCTGAGCTACTGGCCCCTATAAGTCACCTACCACAGAAAGCTACTCCATCAACACAGGAAGGCAACCACAAAGCAGAGACACAGAAGCATGTCACAAATGGGAGATATGGAGGAAAGTAAAATACTGGATGACACAGAGTTCAGAACATAAGGTTACGCAAGAATCTTCTAAAAACCACTGAGAAACTTGAAGAGACCTTCAAGGACCTTAATGAGAATGAAAAAAAAAAAAAAAATAGGAAAAGGACCAGTCAGAAATTAAGCATACACTGTCTGAAATGAAGAATATACACAAACTCAACTGTGGATCAATGTACCCCAAGAGTCAAACCAAAGATCTGAAATATGAGGGAGCAAAAAATACCCAACCAGAGTTAGAAAGAAGAATCCAAAAGTGTGAGGACAGTGTAAAGAGCCTCTAGGACAACTTCAAGCATACCAACATCTGGATTTTTGGGGTGCCAGAAGAAGAGAGCAGGATATTGAAGGCCTATTGAAAGAAATAATGACAGAAAACTTTCCCTACCTGGTGAAAGAAATAGACTTACAAGTCCAAGAAGTGCACAGAACTCCAAACGAGAGGAATCCAAAGAGAACCACACCAAGACACATCATAATTAAAATGCCAAGGGCAAATGACACAGAGAGAATCATGAAAGCAGCAAGAGAAAAACAGTTACCTACAAGGGAGTACCCATATGACTGTCTGCTGATTTCTCAACAGAAACTATGCAGGCCAGAAGGGAGTGGCAAGAAATATTCAAAGTGATGAACAGCAAGAATCTACAACCAAGATTACTCAGCAAAGCTATCATTCAGAATTGAAGGTCAGATAAAGAGTTTCATAGACAAGAAAAAGCTAAAGGAGTTCATCACCACCAAACCAGGATTACATGAAATGCTGAAGGGAATTCTTTAAGAAGAGAAAGAAGAAGAAGAAAAAAGTAAAGGTAAAAATTATGAACAACAAAAAGACATCAAATACATACCTACCAACAAGTGAATCTAAAAATCAAGTGAATAAAAAATCTGAAGAACACAATGGACTGGTGAATATAATAGAATCAGGGACATAGAAAGAGAGTGGACTGACAATTCTCAGGGGAAAAGGGATCTGAAGGGTGGGGGAAGAGATTGGACAAAAATCTTACTCCTATGGATGAAGATTAAGACAGTGGTGGGGGGTAAGGGCATGGGGTGGGGTGGGAAATCAGGTGGAGGGAAGCTATGGGGGGGAAAAAGAGGAACATCTGTAATAATCTGAATAAAGATTTATTATTTTAAAAAAGCAGAGTTGAATTTTGTTTTCTACTAAAAATGTAGAATGTAGCTACTCTGTGTAGCCAACAACCCATCCATATGCTTTGATGGTCAATAGACAGAGTGGATTCCTTATTTGTTCTTTTCATTTAACATTAATTAATACTCATAATTATTATTGGAAAACAGGGCATTGAGAGCATTAGAATAATTGCATCTATGAAAGCTAGAAAGAACCAGAAATATTTAGTGACAGTAGGGAGAAAAGTGTGTGTAAAGATAACAAACAAATTACCCTGGCTCAAAAATAACACACAGGAAGAAAAATATTGTTTGGCATAGTTTTGAAATATAGTTACCATATGGACAAAGCATCACTAGAAAATAATATTTGTATTTTATGAAAATATATAGCTAATTTCATAATTACTTTTATGTCATTCAAATAGTACTAGGGGGGGAAAAAACAAGAACTTGTACAATACATTTTTAATTTTAAGGAAAATTATTTTAGTGTTAGTGTGTCCAGATTTGCAATTTATATTGTCTAATTCTGGAAAGAAAAAGTACATACATATAAATAAGAAAACTAAATAATTTACTATCCAAATGGAGACTCTTTTGAAAGTGAATTAATTCACTACTAATAAGGAAGCTGGAAAATTAGGCACAGACCCAGGTTAACCTTCACAATTGGAATGCATGGTAAATGCTTCTCAAAGGCACAAGCCCAAAGTAACATAATTGCTATTCCTAAAAATCAACTCCTCTTCAAAATATTTAATTAGAAGATTGCCTACCCTCTTAACTAAAAATAGTTCAACATTAAAATTTAAAAATCATGTTGTCAACTGTGTCACTGATGCTCATTGAATGTGGATATTTCTTTCTCCTTAAAAAGGACAAATGCTCCCTGATGATATTATAGAAATACCCATTGACTCCCCAGAGTTTTATCTTACCTCAGCTATATTTATTGCATTTTGGATCCGCTCATCTTTTTCATGATTCTTCGTTCTCCGTAATGTTTGCCACATGAGGTTTCTAAGTCCATCCTGTTCCTCATCTCCTCGAAGTTCCCATGACATTTTCACAAGGTTGTACACTAAGCCGTAGTACCCAATCCATATGACTTCATCACCTGTTTGGAAAGAAATAATCTGCCCTAATCAGTTTGGCTCAATGGATAGAGCATGGACCTGTGGACTGAAGGGTCCTGGGTTCGATTCTGGACAGGGGCAGTTACTTGTTGCAGACTGCTCTCTGGTTCGGGCCCTGCTAGGGGCTCGTGAAGGAGGCAACCAATCGATGTGTTTCTCTCACATCAATATTTCTCTCTGTCTTTCCTCTCTCTTCTACTCTCTCTAAAAATCAATGGAAAAATATCCTCTGGTGAGGATTAAAAAAAATATATTGTTTGAGAAGATAATAATTTTATTCATCATACTAATGTAGAAAAAGAATGAACCGATTTTCTGAACTTTTCAGTCTTCACTGCTTTTAGTTCTTTAATTTAAAAAAAATTATATATTCTTTTAAAATTGCTAACTGTATAAAAAAAATGAACTGCACCTCACTAATATCAAACCTCAAAGTTAAGCTTCAAATATCAAATTTCAAAGTTAAACAGGTAAATTGTAAACAAGGTACTAAAAAAATCTTTTGAATTCAAGTAAAGAGGAATTTGTTCAAGGCAATATTAATACTTAGACCACCATGGTGAATTTTTATAATAAACTAGAGGCCTAGTACACAAAATTCATGCATGGGGGGTGTGTCCCTTAGGCCAGCCTGCACTCTCTCCAATTTGGGACATCCCTCTCACAATCCCAACTGCTCACCTGCCTGCCTGTCTCATTGCCCCTAACTGCTTCTGCCTACTGGCCTCATCACCCCCTAACCAATCCCTTGCCAGCCTGATTGATGCCTAACTGCTCCTCTGCTACCCCAATTGTCCCTAATTGTCCTCCCCTGCTGGCCCAGTCACCCCTAACGGCCCTCCCCTGCCAGCCTGGTCATCCCTAACTTTCCTCCCCTGCAGGCCTGGTTGCCCCCAACTGCCCTCCCCTATAGGCCTGCCCCCCTCCCACTGCCCTTCCCTGTAGGCCTGGTCACCCCCAACTGCTTCCCCTTCAGGCCTGGTCTCCCCCAACTGCCTTCTCCTGCAGGCCTGGTCCTCCCCAACTGCCCTCCCTGCAGACCCAGTCCCCCACAATTGCCTTCCCTCCCCTGCTAGCTTGGTCCCCACCCCCTCAACTGTCCTTCCTGCTGGCCTAATCATCCCTAATTGTCTTCCCCTGAGGGCCTGGTTTCCCATAACTGCCCTCCCCTGCAGGTCTGGTTGCCCCCAACTGCCCTCCCCTGCAGACCTGCCCCCCCACAACTATCCTCTCTTATATACCTGGTCCTCCCCAACTGCCCTTCCCTGAAGGTCTGGTCGCTCCCAACTGTCTTCCCCTGCAGGCCTGGTCACCCAGAACTGATCACCCCTGAAGTCCTAGGTCCCCCATAATTACCCTCCCCTGCAGGCCTGATTGCCTCCAACTGCCCTCCCTTTAAGGCCGGGGTCCCCCCACTCCTCCCACCCCTACAACTTCCCTTCCCTGATGGCCATCTTGTGGCAGCCATCTTATGTGTTGGAGTGATGGTCAGTTTGCATATTATCTCTTTATTATATAGTATCAGAAGACAGGAGAAAAATCATTGGTTGTTATAAGAATGACCAAAATCTATGAAACATAGCATTTCAACCAAGAAGAAAACTTTGAAAACAATGTGAGAAGCAAATGAAAATTTCTGATCTAATTATAGGTTGTAAGATTTTTTTTCTAATAACAGAAACAAAGTTTATTGAAATAATGGAAAGAAAATAATGAATCCAGAAAAGACAGTCTAAGACATTTCTAAAACTTAAATACCAATTAGCAATTTATATAAATTATGCAGTTCTACTTTTTAAATATGCATTTCTCTTACAGAAAAAAAGAAGTTTCTCTTTATTCTTTACTTTGATGGTATATTGCTATGTAATACTATTTAGGAAAAGAGAATTCTAATTTAGGTAGTGAAGGGATAAAAAAATTTGGAAAATGAAATAATAGAGTTTTAAAGGGAATATGAACTTAATTAGCCATGATAATAGTGAGTACAACTGAAGTGGGGAAGAGAGCAAGAGGAAGAAAAGGTTCAGAAATGGAGATGGAAGAGTTTTAAAGCTAAATAAATTCTTTATTGTACTTTCACCCCAAATTTTGGTGTAGCCCATGTGATATTGGAACTCCTCAATGCCCTTCTTGAAAAGTCACAATTCTCAACTTTCCTTAATTCAATCTAGAATTTGATGATTCAGGCTAACAATCATCATCACTATTATTATAAATATAATACTTGGGTATACCTACTAGATGCCCTTATTCTAGACCACATTACAATCCTGCGATGTAGTCCATATCATACTTAGAATAACAGAAGAGAATGTGAGCTTCAAGTTGGTTTGAAAGTTCCTACCATTGTGCAGTCAGATAAAGACTGATCTAATTGTGTCCCATGCAGCCCAGCCTCTCCAGTTTAAATAAGTAATTTTCTTTCCAATCCCCACCTTCTATGCCATTCACATGAAAGAAGGAGACTAGAAGATAGGAGGAGGAAGCGGAAGAGAAAGTATGTACAAATTTTGGAAATGGAAGACAACGTATGTCCAGCTTCCAAACTTAAGACATCTTCCACCTTTTCTGTTGTCTCATACTATAAAAGAGAAAGTATAAACTGCAAATATGAGGATATAATTAAGTAGCCAAATCTCTTTTTATTTTAATTTATTAGGATAACACTGGTTAATAAAACTATATAGGTTTCAAGTATAAAATGCTATAATTCATCAACTGTATACTGTACAATGTGAAATTAAACTAACCAACAAAATAAAAACAGATTCATAGATACAGCAAACAGGTTGACAGCCATCAGAGGGGAGGGAGATTGGGGGACTGGGTGAAAAAGGTGAAGAGATTAAGCAAAAACAATAACAACAATAAACTCATAGACAGACAACAATATGGTGGTTATCAGAGAGAAAGGGGGTTGGAGAGATAAAATAGGATAAAGGTAAAACAGGATAAAGGGAGGATAAATGGTGACGAAAGGAGACTTGACTTTGGGTGGTGGTCAATATTTTAAAAATACAATTTTCACTCATAAACACTTAGTTAAAACTAGTATACTGCTATGTTTGAAGTTATATAGAGAGAATGATGTCAGCAAATAGGTGGAATAGAAAGTTCCCCCCCCCCCATCCTCATCCTCTCCCAGAAATATAATTTGGCAGTCACCCAATAGCAAATATGCCTTTTGGCGAAACCTTGGGATCCAGGTAGGAGGTTGGGAAACACCAGGGGAAGCCAAGACTGAGGAGGGCCACTTTGATAAGGCATGTTTGGACCCAGGTATCAGGCCTGACGCCAGTGATGTAGTCCCAACTGTGGACATGGAAGTACCCCTGACTCCTGTGAACTCAACTTCAGCCCTGCTTGTCCACAGTCTGCCACTAACCCTATCCATCAAACGATCCAGGAGCACCCATGCCTGTTGGTGCTCTTGGTAAGTCGACACAGACTGTGGACACCGAAGCAGCTCTGTGACCTGACCCAGCTTCACTCTACCATAATCCAGAGGCAGCCTGTCTACCCAGGATCCCACCCATGAAGAACCCACCCTTGGACCTGGCAGGAAGAGGCTCAGGTACCTGGTGGGAGCCAAATCCATTCGCACTCCTGGTAACAGGCATGAGATCTGCAGACCAGAAACAGTCCCATAACCAGGCACCAGACTAGTTCAACCACAGTCCTGGAGGTGGTCCCATCTTCTCAGGGACCCAGCAAGGACCAAGCTCACTCATGCCCACTGACTCCCAGCAGAGAGATTGATATAAGGAGAGAGAAAGAAAAGGAATATAATGAGGATCTCATATTGAGCTGTAGTGGAGTTCTTATTAGAAATGGGAAAGGTAAAACAGCTACAAATAAATGGAATCAGATTAAATGGTAGACGTTTGAGCAAAATAGTATTGTTATAGTTATTCAATAAAATGTTATATCTATTCAAGCAATAAACTGGGAGTTTTGTGGGGTATTTCAGCTCTTTTCTGTGATGAGCAGCAGAAGATTGGAGATTAAAGGAGAAACCTAAGACTTTGTGGAGAAGATCTGAGAAGACTTCTTTGGAAAAGGAAGAAATGAAATATAAAGGAAAAACACATTTTTAAGCTCAGAAATTTGAAATAATAATGAGATTACTTGCAAAAATTGAATTATGTAGTAGAAGAGCCTATCTGGAAAGAAAGAAGACAAATATTATTTGGAAATTGTGACATAGTAGAGTGTGAGGGAAAGCTAATTTTTAGTGTCCTGTAGCTTGTCATAAAATTATAACTAATTTTCAAGTAAAATAGCAAAGTGAAAGTATGGATTTGTAACTAGAAAAAAATAAGGCTTGAACTAAATATGAATAAAGAAATAATATGAGTATTTAATAACTGAAGAATTCTGAAACTCTAAAATAAAGGGTTTTGAACAATATGATAAGTAAAATATGCTGTGGATATTAACCAATTTATAAATTTATTTATAGGCTTCCAAATCCTTTACATTGAAAAGAATTATATCCAAACCACTTTCCTTCATATACTTTATTTTTTATGGAGGAACAATATTTTATAACCCTACAGTATTCAAATCATTGAACAGAATATGGTTTGCTTTTAGACTCCACAAGACCAGTGATGAGCCCATAAAGTATATTCTGAGAACTGTTCTCAAAACTCAAAAAATTTTAAAATGCCATTGATTTTAAAAGTGAGCAGTTCACCTGTTGTTTATGAATAAAATTTGGTGGAAGAATCTATTACATCCAATTGACTGACAGTTAACAAAGAAAAATAAAACATTCTAAAAACAGATGGGATGTGTTACAGCTGTCATAAAAGGTAGAATGCATTCTAACATGCACATCTAGACATTTGCCTAGAAGCATGCCTGCTATGAAACTCTTCATCCAGGGACCAAGCTGTGGCATAAAGAACTCTTCTGTTCTGCTTTGAGTGACCCTGTGGCAGCTATCAAAGATGTCACTTTAAATATACTGAGAGAAAATGTGTCTCTTTGCAGCTAAGCAGAGCAGACACTAACAAAGCTGAACCAAAATAAAATTCTTAGTAAATCTTGAAAATTTATCAAGAAATAGTGACGTTTGAAAACCAGTATTATGATCCTTTTTCTTGTAGTTCTATTTTAGTGTTTGAACTCCTTGGAAGCCTTTAATTTCCAGTCTAGATATTTACCTTTCACCTGTGATTATAAAATATGAATATTTCTATTTATTTAAATGAGTACAAGTAAGTACATACAGCCTTTATAATTTTGACAAATCTAATTTGACACCACAAATTCAAATGTATTACTGAAAGGTAACTTGAATGTAAGATGTGGTTTAAAACACTGTCTTTATGAAATGCCATGAAGTATAGAGTGGAAGGAACTAAATCAATGCCAAGAAACTAATGGTCAAGCACCAGTCAGTAAGCCGGGCATTTAACAAGTATTTAACAAGTCAATGCTATGTGGCAGCCGCTGTTCTATACACACACAAAGTTTCCCGGCCATTGTGGTTCTAGCGATTGAACACATGAAAGATTTTCAACCTGCCTGTCCTATTTGGTTCCTGGTCAGGGTATGTGCCCAGGTTCCTGGCTCCATCCCCAGTAGGGGTGTGCAGGAGGCAGCCAATCAATATCTCTCATCATTGATGTTTCTATCTCTCTCTCCCTCTCCCCTCCTCTCTGAGATCAATGAAAAAAATACATTTTTAAAAAGAAAAAGACAATGTTATTACTTTCATGACACAATATCTAGTTAAGAAAATAAACAGAACAATATTCATGAGTTTTAGATGGTAATGTGACCAACAATGGCTAGGAGAAGAAAACTACTATGGATGTAGAGAGAAAGACCTCTATGAGAAGATTGATATTCAAGCTCAGATCTGATGGAAACTAACCATCCAAGGAAATGGGGAAAACTGTACCCAGCATAGGGGATAGAAAAATGCAAGGTTTTTGGAACTAAAATATTATGATAGTGTAGAGAAGCAAAAATCTTGCAGTTATATTTTAAATTTAGTGATTTGTTTAATTACATAATAAATCCAGTACAACTAATTGATCATCTACTATATGCCACACACTATACTATCTGCTGGGTTAAATATAAATATAATTCAGACATGATTCTCCATCTTAATTATCTCATAATTTAATGGAAGTGAGAATCATATACATACCAGGCCATAATCATACTCATAAAGAAAAGTTTTAGTCAACCTAAAAGGACACTTTTGAATGTACAGATATATTGTCTCTATAGTATCATTTTAAAAATAAAAGTATTTTATTTTTATAGCTCCCATAAACAACAGTAGCAAAATAGCCTTTAGTCTTAAGACATCAAACTAGTATATTTTGATAGAGTATGAGATTGTATATGTGAAAAATGTACTAAATTATGTGACATATTGAAGAGAAATTTTCTGGGTGGGAAAAGAACAAGAGAATCAGTCAATGCCTAGAGAAGATAGATGAGAAATCCTTATGTGAAAAAGAATAAAAGAAACTTATGTACATTTCATAAGTTTTCCCAGATCAACTTTTGTTTTCAAGGAATATAATTTGAATCATAAATCAATTGACTATATTTCAGTTGTTTTTAAATTATTGATCAAAAATTTCCATTTTATAAAATATTATTCCTAAATTTATAGAAACCCCTACTGAATTTAAAATTATTTCCATCTTTAAAATGCTAACATTTTGTGAAAGGAAGACATTTTTAATCAGCTTAACAATAACCCACAATCTTCGGACCAACTAAGGGAAACATTTTTAAAATATTTATCAAATTAAAAAATAATTTACTTACAATCATGTGAAATTTTTGAAGAGAAATAGTCCAAAAGACCTAAAAAACTTGTTTCCTTCAGTTCTGGCTGTTGTTCTGATTTGTCCAGTGGAAAAATATATTTTTTTGAATTTTTACAGTCACAGAAACCAATAAAAGCAGCTTTTCTCAAATTAGAAATGGCTGCATACAAACAGACTTCTGTAAGAATTGTTATATAGATGTAGACAATAATCCAGGCCCAGGAAAAATCAACACAGCCATTTTCTTTCTAAAATAAGAAAATAGCTGTAAGATAATCTAAACTTATTCTGTCATAACAAGAACTATATACTATATTTATAAGAAATATCTTTAAATTTTATAGAGTTGTTAAAATGATATAATCTAATATTTCTAAATGTACTTATTAAAAGGCAGATTTTACATGGATAAATTGCATAAAATCTAATTCAAAGAATATGAAACACAAGCAGCTAACTAGTATATGCAGAACTTTTCAACTTCATTTTTAATCAATGGAATGTAAATTAATCCAATGAGATTCTATTTTCCATATCATATTTTAAAAGAATATTTTTATGTAAAGCTCACTTCTAAATTTTGGTCCTGAATAGACAAGATTCTCTGGAGTATGTGCTTATCAAATCTTAAGATAATTTAAGATACATGAATCTGACTTTGCTCAGAAAGGAAATTAAATGAGTCATATCAGAAAAAAATAAATAAAACCATGGCACGTTTACACATTTTTCATAGGAAAGGAACATATTTTCAGAAAAGGAATTTAAACATTTACCCTAAAAAAGTAAAAATGTAATTTATTAAACTATTCTAAAGAAATCATCATACATAAAATCTTTATTTGCATGAGAATCTGTTTAACATCATTTGTAATTAACTGTGATTAATTATAAACAAACTCAATGCTTAACAATAAATTAAATGATTACATCCCCACTAAATATAAATTTTAAAAAAATCTAATAACAATAAAAATGTTTTAAAGTCCAAGGTGGTTTTGCTCAGTAGATAGAGCAACAGCCTGTGGACCAAAGGGTCCCAAGTTTTATTCATCTTGGTTGCAGGCTCCTCCCTGGTCAGGCCCTGATCAGGGCTCACAAGAGGCAACCAATCTATGTGTTTCTTTCACATCGATGTTTCTGTCTGTCTTTCCCTCTCTCTTCCACTCTCCCTTAAAATCAATGTAAACTATCCTAGGGTGAGGATTAACCACAACAAAAAATGTTTTAGATACATTTTAAATATTTTTAAAGGAAAAACTAAATCATGTGTAACTATATGATTTTGAGTTTGTTAATAAAATTTAAAATCCTTCTCATGTATGTGTATGTATGTGTCAAGACATATAATCTATTTCTATAGCTCTATTTCTATCTACATCTATATCTATCAATCCATACTGGGATATATGGTAAATAAGAATTTAGTTTTATATTTAATTAAAATTATTTCAAAGTTATGCTCATTATAAGTCATAATATAGTATACAATTTAAACAGTGCCAAAATTTTTTGTTTCTATTTGTCTTTTTTGTACACCAAAATTAATAAGTATACTGTTACCTGATTCTGAACAGACATAATGCTTAAAAGAAAATCTTTCATTATGTCCATTAAAGTTTTCAAGCAGGCCATGTTTAATTTGGCAGCCTCCCCAAGGACCATCAAAGCCAGTACAGAATCCATCCTAAAAATGTTATTAACAAAACACAGACTTTAATGTACAATAATAAAGTTTTTAATGAAAAAAAGTATTTGGCCAGAAGAGAGGAATATCCTGGATTGCAAGATACATTACTTTCAATAAAGACTAGTATCGCTTCACAAATATAATATTCAACTACAAATAAATTATAATTACAAAAGAACAAATATTGGTTCATACTGGTTATAATAAAAATCTGCAAGAAAGAGCTACATTTTAGCCAACCAAGAAATGAATAATACTTAAGAACTTGGGAATTGCAAATACTGCTGTTAAATGGTTGACAGTGAGTAGAAAAACTAGATACAATTTACAAAGATAAATCAACATAATTTTATAAATATGATCCAAACATAAATGTAATCTATAAAACATAAATACATAAATAATTCTATAAGGAGAAGATAGACATTTTAAATAATGATTTAACCATAATGTTATCAGAAACTCAGGTTTAGCACAGCCAGCATGGCTCAGTGGTTGAGCATCGACCTATGAACTAGGCAGTCACAGTTTGATTCCCAGTCAGGACATATGCTGAGATTGGGGGCTTGATCCTCAATGTGGGGCATGCAGGAGGAAGCCAATCAATGCTTCTCTCTCATCATTGATGTTGCTATTTCTCTCTCCCTTTCCCTTCTCCTCAGAAGTCAATAAATATATATATATATATTTAAAAAAGAAAAGAGAAACTCAAATTTAGATTAAGAGGCTAGAAAGGGGAGGACTAATATAAATAAACTAGAGGCCTGGTGCACGAGATTCATGCACTCACGGGTGTGGGGGGACCCTCAGCCTGGGTTGTGCCCTCTCAGGAGGAGTGAGCCTAAGCCGACAGTTGGACATCCTTAGTGCTGCTGTGGAGGTGGGAGAGGTTACCACCACTGCTGCTGTGCTCGCCAGCCTTGACCCTGGCTTCTGGCTGAGAGGTGCTCCCCCTGTGGGAGCACACTGACCACCAGGGGCAGCTCCTGCATTAAGCATCTGTCCCCTGGTGGTCAATGTGCATCATAGTGACTGGTCATTCTGCAGTTTGATCTATTTGCATATTAGGGTTTTATTATATAGGATTAATCTCAATCTTCATTGAACATGGAGAAGAGGGCAGTTAGCATTTCATTGGGGAAAACTAGTTTAAAGACTGTATTTATTTTGCCAATGCTTGATTTTTGATACCCAGAAGAGATGGACTATATGAAAAGTCAAGCTTTAACTAGTCTGCTAAAAGGGTTCCTTCTCCTGCTTACAGAATTTCATTTTTGAAGCTCCAGAGAACAATGTGGAGCAGAATATAGGCAATGACTTCTGTTTCATCAGAGAAGGCATAGGTAGGCCATTGATTGTTTTTTTCCATTCAGCCCTACCAGGCACTTCTCTGACTGTGTTGGTGGTAATTAATAATAGTAGCAGGAACTCTTTGTTCTTTTGTTAAAATCTTGTCAAGTTGTGAGACCCTAATTTGGTCTGCAATACCTATGCCAGGAAAAACAGTTCTTATTAAATAGTTTTAAGTAGGAGAATGGTATAATCACATTTATGTTGCAGCCCTGGCAGCAGAGACTAACAAATTATAGAGGAGAAAACTTAAGGCAAAGAAATCAATTAATAAGCTATAAAAGTCTATCTAATAAAGAGAGAATACGCTAATTGACCATCATGCCCTCACAGATAGCAGTGACAACAGCCAATAAAGAGAGAATATGCTAATTGACTGCCACACCCTCAAAGATGGCAGTGCCCACAGCCACAAGATGGTGGCGTCCAGTCCCCTCAGCCCTGCCAGGGTGGCAGGTGCCTGGCACAGCCGGGCCCACATCTAGGCAGGCCTGGCCACTCTGCATGCCTGCCTTTGGAGTCCCCCAGTTCCCTCAGTCTCCCAGCTGCCCAGGGCCAGCCCGAGGCACAGGTAAGCCTCTGATATTGGGTGCCCAGCCACCCAGGGCTAGCCCAAGGCACAGAAAAACCTCAGATGGTGGCTGCCCAGCTGCTCAGGGCCACCCAAGGCTTAGGTAAACAGGACCAGCCAAGGCTTGTGCTGCTGGCAGTGACAGCAGCAGAGGTGTGATGGGGGCGTCGCCTTCCCCTGATCACCGGGTTGCCTCCCATCCCTGAGGGCTCCCGGACTGTGAGAATTTTCATGCACTAGGACTCCAGTGAGAAAATAATGGCCCAAACCAAGATTGTGACAGTGGCAGTAGAGAGCAGGAGATAGTTCTGAAATCTAGTGGGTAAGCTGTCTAATTGGGTTAACTTGAGCAGAAGATATGTGTCAGGTACAGTGATAGAAATTCTTTAGGCAAGACTCTATCTGGAAATAATTAATTCATATATGAACTAGCATGAAATGAAATATTAGGGGATAATGAATGTATCAAAAGTGTTTTCATATTATATACTTACCTTCTTTAAATATCCCTAAAGTCCTTTTGGAATGACTATTATTTCTATTTAACTGCTAAACAGACTGTTCAGAAGGGTTATGTGACATTCAAAATTAGGCAGCAAGAGACAGGACTAAAACTCAGGTCTTCTAATCTAAGGTTAAATTTTTTTCACTGTACTATAATGCAGCAAAGTATAATTGATATATTTACCCTAGATATAGATTAAATATTTATATTTAACTCATAGGATCAAAGGATTAATAACAAATCCAGGAAATAAATGAGAAAAGTGGACCTACATTGGCATCTCAGCTCATGAATAATGAGAAACATTATTAATGAAAACTTTGTTTGAATGCTGTTAGACTGTCACATAAACATTATAATAATCACTGAGGATCATAACGACAGAAAATGTGGATATCAAGTATCTAGCCAGAAGTAAAAGGCTTCTTTTGCCCATACAAAACAGTTGATTCTTTGATCTATTCATGTTGATGCAAACACAAATACTGTACATCTGAAAAACACTCGCTATGTCAATATAATTTAAATTGTCAAGCTTTTTTTTTTTTTTTTTTTTTAATACATGCATGGGGTGTATTTTGCTTTTGGAGATATAATTTTATGTTATACTACTCTACTGAAATGTCATGCTGAATTTCTCAGTAATCTTCATTGGCTAATAATTCAATTATAAACACAATTCATTATTTTCATGTTAGATTAGAAAGTCCTTTGTGCTGGCTTGAGGTATCTCCCCAGAGCAAATAGGGCAGTTTATAAAAGGCCAACCCACAAGGGAGCATTGAGAGGATGGTGTGTCATTTAAAGTTTAACCATATTAAATGGAAATCTGCTTTACAGACTTCTCTGCAGTTCAGGGCTACTAAACTTCCAAGGAAAAGGTCGGTGCATGGCAGCTGGGAGGGGCTCACAGATTCTCCTTTTCTCTACTTCTTCACCCTGATTTATAATTTACCAGTGGCCCGGTTCACTAAATTCATGCATGGGGGGGGGGGGGGGGGCGCGGAGAGGGGAGTCCCTCAGCCCAGCCTGCAACCTTTCCAATCGGGGACCCCTGGCTCCTAACCGCTCACCTGCCTGCCTGCCTGATTTCCCCTAACCCTTCTGCCTGCCTGCCTGATCACCTCTAACCTCTCTGTCTGATCGCCTCTCTCTGCCTACCTGCCTGATCTCCCCCAACTGCCCTCCCCTGACAACCTGGTTGCCCCCAACTCCCCTCCCTTGCTGGCCTGATCTCACCCCCAAATGCCCTCTCCTGCTGGCCTGATTACCCCTAATGGCCTCTGCCTCGGTCCCCACCACCATGGCTTGTCCAGAAGGAAGTTGGACATCCAGAAGAGGGCTGGTCAACTTGAACTAATTAGCATATTACCCTTGAAATCGTATAAATAGGTTATACAGGATAGGATTGCTTAAATGGTGAAGAAAGCCTTTTTCATCAGGAGCTGCTCTTGGCAGACAAAAAAAATACATAATCCCCCTATCTGGACTGATAGCCAGCCATATGCACTCTACTGCCAAACCAGTCATTAAAAAATTGAACCCCTTTCTTACATCAAACAGCTGTTGCCCTTAAACCCCACCTCAGCCCCTACCTTAGTTTCTGCCTTCGCAGTTCATCCAGTTAGGTTCTGATTGGTTTGTTTCTATGCCAGTCAGCATCAAAAGCTCTGCCCCCTAGGAAGCCATTGGCTCCTCGCACTTCACTCAGATTTAATTCTGATTGGTTGGTTTCTATGCAAGTCATTGTCAAAAGCTTCGCCTCCTAGGCAGCCATTGGCTCCTCAAACTTCACCCAGATTTGGCTCTGATTGGTTGGTTTTTATGACAGTCAGCATCTCCAGGCCTATCAATAGGCCTGATCAGAGAGGTGGGGCTAATCAGCAGCCCCAGCAGAGGCCTAAGAGAAAGAGAGGCTCAACTGCTGGCCAGGCCAGGAGCAAAAGAGAGAAGCAAGTGCTGATCAACAGCTGCCAGAGAGGCTATGGATAAGACCCTGCTTCTCTCTCCAGGACTCTCTTCAGGCCTGATGTGCAGCCCCCTCAGCAGTCAGTACTGGATCCCCACAGCAACATAGGTCGAGTCTTTGTTAGTTTTGGATGTTATGGACCTTGGGTTTTTATATATTAGGATTGTGTTCAGTGCACTTCCTTTTCTTATCTGCCCCTTACCCCAACCCCCATAGAGAAGAGGTTGCTCTAATTCTGAGTTCTTTGAGTTATTTCATGAATTCAGGCTTAGCTGAAACTACATGCTTCCATTTTTTTCCTTTTGAGTTGTGTGATTTTTATAAAGGGGTTAAGAAAAGTCTGGCAGGCACATGCATGATGAGATACCCACTAAGGGATAACATTAGAAATGGGCAGAGGAGCCGAAACCGGTTTGGCTCAGTGGATAGAGCGTCGGCCTGTGAACTGAAAGGTCCCAGGTTCGATTCCGGTCAAGGGCGTGTACCTTGGTTGCGGGCATATCCCTGGTTGGGGGTGTGCAGGAGGCAGATGATCAATGTTTCTCTCTCATCGATGTTTCTGGCTCTCTCTCTCTCTCTCTCTCTCTCTCCCTTCCTCTCTGTAAAAAAAAAAAAAAAAAAGAAATGGGCAGAGGAGAACCACTCACCTGTATGGACACCAGCAATTTTTGCCATTATTAATAACATATTTTCTAATCGGTCAATTGAATGGTCCCCCCCTACATTTCAAATCTCTGAACATTTATTCATCATCATGGTACTTTACTGATATACATATAAAATGAAATTGCTCCTGTTAATACTCACTTGGCCTTGAATTTCAGATACTAAACCAAAGATATCTTCTACCAAGTGTCCCAATTCTAAGGCTGGTCCAGCAAATCCTGATAAAGTCTTAATTTACTATCAAGGTCTGATGCCCAAATATTTCTATTTCATTCTAAACATATGTAGTTCATTTTCTTCATTGCCACATGTTCCCAAACTTAGGAGTATGTGAGACCATGTAAAAGCATTTCTGGTTTGATTTTGATAATTACATCACAGTTTGTTTTGTTTTATCTAGAACAGTGTTTTCTTAAAAGCAGTTTAGTCTATTACATAAGTAAATTAAATCAATGTTGATGCAATATAATAAAAAACTGAAAATTGGTTAAAAGAACAATTCATTAATCTGATATTCTTAATCAGCCACTTTTGTATTTCAGCACTTGTTTGAACCTGGTAATGATTAGAATACTTTGAAAATAAATTTGGCAAAGTCAGACAATATTTCGTTTTTTATGTTAAAATATAACTTGTTTTTAAAACCAAGTTAGAGGTTAGAGTCTCCCAAGATCTAAAGTAGCACTAGTTGTTTGTCCTTTGAAAATAAATTGTGTTTGATTCCCCTACAATTTATTTTCTAGAATAAGAGTGATCTGTATAATCAACCTATGCACCAATAAAACTAACTTTTCTTACATTTAGCAGCTCTATATTAATGCATATTTATTATATTTTATATTATGATGTAACATATTGAACCACATCCAGATGTATATTAATTCTATATTATTGATCTATCATATTGAACCAAAGGCGGTGGAGGGCGGTGAAGGATTAAAGAAGACAGACAAGAGAATGCAGTTGGGGCTATGTAGGACACTGTTCTTGGCTGGAGAGAGAGTGCCACAGCCTGCAAGCTGAGTTTTTATTTTATAGTCAGATTCCACTAGGCAAAGCAAGGGCATGGTCAAGATGTTTACAATGTTCTCAAGATTTTCAAATCTTCTTAATTATATGCACCTGAGAACTCTATCAAGCTTTGTTCTGGCAGCACACAGCCTACATCACTCAGCCACCTGGGACCACAGATTCAGACCAGAAGGTCAAGCTTACAACCATAGCCTTTGGCTATAATTGTGCTGGGAGGGCATTGCCCTCAAAGCTGGGACCTGCATGTGGCTTTGCCATGAGAGGACTGTGCCCTCTCATTAGTCTGAGGCTTGAACCTGTCCAAATGCTATAGCTGCTCTCCACACATATATTCTATTTGCATTTTGATTTTTCTATTTAAAGATGCTATCCTCACTGGAAAGGGAGGTACTAGATGAAAGAAGGTGAAGGCATTAGCTAAAGAATATATATGCATGACACATAGACACAGGCAACAGTGTGGTGATGGCCAGATGGAAGCGAGGGCAGGGGCTAGGTGGAGGTGGGCAAAGGGGAAGGGGATATGAGGACATCTGTAATAGTGTCAACAATAAAAGTAAAGTTAAAAAAATAAATAAAATATAAAAGAATCATGATTTTGTTAACTGCAGTACTGAGTAGGTTACTCTCATCACACTAAGAGATGGAATAAGTTCTTGATGAACTATCTTCTAAACTAGGCTATTCCTAGGAAATTAGGCAAATTCATCCTCCAGAAATCTTTACTTGATCTAGATTCCCCAAAACTTCCAAAAGAAACTGAGAAAACAGCTTTGGTTCATAAAGGAGGCTCCTGATTTTTATAATTTACATATACAGAGACCATTGATATAGAGTGGGCTGCCAGAGGCTTAAAAACTGGAGATAATTTTAAGAAAAATATATGACAATTGAGTTTGAAACTTGCTATGGAATAACAAATTATTATTATTGTGAGCATTGGAAAAGGAATTCTGATTGTCCTCAAATAATTAAAAGGGGTATCTCTGATCAATTTCCTCAGAAATACTCCTTTACATTTTTTTCTTTCCTCTATTGAACTCATCCCCTGTTTTGTAGTAATTTAAGACTTCTTTTCCCTTCTCAAATTCACATTTGTACAGGGGGAAACTAACACTTATCAGTCAAGATTCACTTTTTTGTACATTACAAGTAAGGCATAACAAAACAATATTTTCCCCAAAAAATAATAAACTGTACTTCACTTTGTTTAACAGGTTGAAAAATAAAAAGTGTTTTAAATATGTGAATTAATTTATTAATAACAAATTTCATTAAACTATAATACATGCATGGTTATACAGCCCCCCTCCAAAAAATAGGGACAATTTATTGATGAACTGAACTAATGCAAAATATATAAATTGCCCTTGTCTTTGGAACTCAGATTATAAATTTTTTTCATAGTCAACTAAGGTGTGATTAACATTTAAGTACAAAGGTTATTTAACATTTAAACACAAAGGTTTCTCCATGAATTATTTTGGATTTATATAATCCCTCTTACCAGCATTTCTTTTGAAGCTGTGTTTTATGAAAGGTGAGATGTTCCAGCACGTTATTCAACTGAGGACTATTTTTCTGAACACAAGTCCAGACAGCAACACAGTGCCAGAGCAGATTGTTAACTTCATAGCTTTTCTGATTGTCTTGTAAATATTCCTAAAATTAAAATACAAATTATATGGGGAAAGAGTTCTTTGACTTGAATAAACATAAAATAAATTTTAAATATGTGAGAATGCATGTTTTCTTATACCTCATGCTTCATCAAATGAAGTAATTTTGCAAGTTAACCTGAACATACTGTCTTAATATTGTTCATATGGGACCCTGGTATTCAAAGACATTAAGTCTATAGTACAACAAAATTAATTAAAGAAAAATTATTAGACACAATCATGCTTCTTAGACTCTATATGACTTAGCTGTCCATGACACCCAAGGAGGAGGGACAGGGAAAAGTCTGAACAACGATCAACCAACAAATAAGGTTTTAAAATGTGGATTTCTACTTCATGGACCAAAATATATGCCTAGCTGGACACAGTCAATGTCTGCAACATATTTTAAAAGCCTACAAATTAGGATGTTTTTAGTTTGTTTTGTTTTTTTTTCTTAGAGTGCTAACAGTTTTATAGATTGAATTGGTCTATTAAAGTAATTGGTATAAAGAAACCTGACTTTATGTTAGATAATGATAACATAGCATTCTCATTGAATTTGTCAACAGTAAAGATTCAAATACACAGTCTATGATATTTACTCAAATTGCTAACTTAGCTAATATTTTACTCTTTTATGCTCAAAAGAAACACTTAAAGATACTCTACTTATTTTCAAAGGAATTTAGAATTCTCACTTATCATATAAAAGTCAGGACTATAATTTAAAGAAAACTTTCTTATGATAGAAGGCCAGAAGTTCATACATAAATGCTAAGCTAAGACATGTTAAGTTCTAGTAGGCTGTTTAAGTCCCAAAGATGTGTGCTGATTAGCTTCAAGTCAGGAACTCAGTGGAGAAAAAGGCACAGTGAGATAAAGTCTTTGCACTCTGCTACTTACTCTTGGGAACAATCATTCAGAGAAACATATAGAAACAAGTCATTATTTACAATGTATAAACATTCCACAGAAATGCTTTATTTTAAAACAATGTAAGACATCAGACTGAGACATACTGACTGTAGTAAATGCATTATTTTTTTATCCAAGTAACTCAATTTCCTGCTTTGCTCTTCAGCCCACCCAAAAAATGGAACCCATAAAAATGTTCTTTTCCCAAATTGTTCTAGATGTCTCAGCCATGGAGCCTGATGGTCTTATGTAGCAAATTTATTCAGAATCAATGTGTAAGTAGATAAATTTTGATACTTGTAGTGGGCTTGACTAATTTAAAACACTTTTTTTTTTCTCTATAATGTACACTACATGGCTACACAGACTATTCGGTTAGGTCAAAAGATCCTGTTAACAAACCTATGTAACATCACCAGAGAAAATTCCCCAAAGCCTTTGGGAAAGAAAATATTAGGATTTTGGACAATGAACAAGATTTAAGTTTTATTTCCAGTTTTATATGATACCATTTTTACTCATCATTGAAAAAGAATGAAAGCAGCCTCTGATGTCTGGAACTGATTTGACATCAATATAATTACAAGCTGCTCTGACATTCACAACCAGGTCATTTTGTTTCTTGTTGGATATAAACTCACAGAACATCAAACTTAGACAGTGGTAGTTTGAGAACATGATATATGAACAAACAAAGCTACTTGATGAAGTTTTCCTAAGAATAGGCAAAAGTCACTGTGCCACCCACAAATAAAATTGTCCCTACTTTCTGGCAGCATCAAATCTTTATAACTTCCTCCATTCACCCAAACAAAGTCCAAATCCTATAACAGAGTTATTCTAACACTCTTTTACTAAAATATTCTGTGGTTCTTTGGCCATATGTTCTCTCTCTGCAACAAATAATAAACCCATTTTGCTTAAAATGCAGGTGCAGACCTGATGGTCTTTGGGTGAAGGACATTGGCATAATCAAGAATAAATGATGAAGTTGCTACACCTGTGAATTTTCCAGGTAAGTGAGGCTGATTTATCCTTGTGCATTTTCTATATTTTAAGCATTTGCATGGAAATCTTGCTGAAGTTTCTTCCCTGTGTGTGTGTGTTTTTTAAATACATAAATTTGCCAAACTTGAATAAATGAGTATAATAATGCTGATTATGTAATCATCATGTACATCATCAGCATAACAAACCAAAGCTATTGTATTTGGTGGCATACAGTTCTTTGCCTTTACATTAAATCAGTCTTACTCAATGTGGTTAGCAGATGAGTGCCATGTGCAAACTATTAACTGGAGTACAGAAATAAATACACATTGAGAAACTTATAACAAGTTGACATAGTTAATTTTATATATTTTGCCTAATAGAAAAAATTATGCTTGCATTTTCATGTTTTTATTTTTGGTAATTCATTATTATTGTAGTTTACAAAACTATCAGTCTATGACAGTTTGGAAACTAACAAAAAAATTTTAAGAGGGATCTTTTACCCTAGTTTGAAAAGCACTAAACACTGTATTAAATAACTTCCAAAGAACTTTTTTCCCCTTCCCTCCCTTTCTCCCTTCCTGCCCCCCCCCCCCTTTTTTATAGTTCTTTCATCTCTCCCCTTAATGTCCTGTCCAGTTTGGGCTACATTGCTTTGCAAACTGGCCCCTGTGCACCTGTGCAGAGAGGGTAGGAGAGACCTAAGAATGAGGCAGACCACTCCAGATTGGAGGTGGCAGATTTAATAAGCAAGGCAATTTACCACGCTTGTCTTGGAGCCACCAGTAGAGTAGATCACATCCACCCACCAGAATTTTAAAATTTATATAGAGGTCTTAATTGGGTTCAGTCATGTATACCATCCAGATGGTCTGAACAACACATTGCTTTGTCAAGGTCACATCCTTGAAAGGTGCTTCCCATTGTGGGAACAGTGAGGAGAATATACATTCCAAGGACAGGGGAGGGGTGGGAGCTCTGATTGCCCAGGGTCGACTGGAAGTCAATTCCTCTAGATTATCTCCTCCAACAGTGGCTACCAGTGTCAGTTTGTACAATGCCTACTTCAGGGTGCCCACCTAAAAAAGCATTGTTAATTTTATGTTGGCTGAGAATTCAAAGGGCCACATCAGCTTAAATTTATGCAAATTTGAGTACACAAGCTCTGAGAGTCTGACCAAGTTCTCTTTTATAACATAAACTTGAGGCCCAGTGCATTAATTCATGCCCAGGTGGGTTTCCTTGGCCTGGGCTGACCATCTGGGCCCATGGGGGCCATCTCACCCAGTCCCAATCAAGGCTGGCCAGGGGGAGGGACCATGGGAGGTTGGCCAGCCACAGGTGAGAGGTTGGCTGTGGGAGGACCCTGACCACATGGGGCAGCTCCTGTGTTGAGTGTCTGCCTCATGGTGGTCAGTCATGTTATAGCGACCACTCAAAGGGTCATTTGGTCAACCAGTTGTAATGGTCACTTAGGCTTTTAGATATAAAAGCCTAGGCTCTATTTTGGCTGCTCAGAGACAGCTTTTTTAGTTCCATCCTTGTTTTCAGCCATTTTAGGGATGGTTGACATTGCCCTGAAAGGACCTCTCAATACAAATGTGTTGCTTGGATAGTAGGACATGAATCATAGGATAATGTTCCTCATTTTAAAGAACTTGTGTCTCAGGCTAACCCAATTCCTATGAACCATTTCCAATTACTGTACAGCACAAAATGTCCCAAATTTAGAGAATACCTTTGGCATACCAGATACTTAAAACAGTAAAGATGAGCTTGCTAATCACATTTTAACGTAAACTCCGCATGTTTCCTAGCTTTCAGAAAACTATTTATACTTTAGGACAGCTGCAACTATTCTGTAAAGAGTCTATAGCATTTTAATTGAGATTGAATCTACCTTCTCCAAAGAGCTATGTTATTATCATGTGACAACTAGCAAATCCAGCTTTGTTAGTGAGCAAAGGGCAGAGTGAGTACTCAATCCAGTGGTCTGGCTCTGCAATTCTCAGAACTAATTAAAGTGTACCATTTGTCAAAGTCAGTGGGAACCCTGTGTCTGTATCAGCTTAAAAGGATATTGAAAGGAGAAATGGGTTCCATCAGCAGGAAAAAAATAATGTCCTATTCTTAAATAGAACCAACATCCATTTAATGAGTGTCCTAATGTGTATATCCTACAGAATTATTTTCCCCCCAGAAATTTTATAGCAACACTTTGGAAACAAATTAAATAATTATGCTTATACTCCAATGCTTATAAATATATTAAAAATATTTTACAGTGGCCAAAATATGCTCTCTTGGACCTTTTAGCATTATTAAAGGATAAGGGTTATAGAAATAAATCCACAAATCCTCTACTAAAGTATAATAATTATAAAAACGGGGGAGAGAATGAACACAAGTATAACTTTTATATTCCTCTATTTAATGAATAAATACTCAACTGAACAGTAGAGGCTGCCTCAGGTTAATAATAGAGAAGTGAGCTGAAACTGGAGCACAACATTAAATGATGCAGTCAAGCACTGAATTAGTTAGCTCAACCAGCAATGTTAGCAGCACTGTGGTTACACTACCTTTTAAATTCTTTATATTTATTATAAGGTAATGGGAGAAGAAAAAGAAGAGCAAGAAATATGGTAGGTTAAAATCTGTTTTAACCTCTTCACAGAATTATACCTATAGTGCTGACATAGAGCTTAGAAAAAGTTGGAACTGTGTCCTTAGTTCCAAAAAATTGGAAAGGGCACAGAAAATTAGGGACTGATCCCACTCTAAGGAGATAACATTCTTTTGATGTGTTGACATTTTGCCCCTTAGAATTCAAGCTAAGCTGTACAGCAGTCAGCTTCCATTTCCTGGTGCACCAAGAGTGGTTGATTATCAGAGAAGCAGAATCCACATTGAAGGTTGCCTATCTCATAACCAGAACACTCATGTCCTGAAGATCTCACAGTATCCTATTTGTTTAAAAGAAACACACTCAGATAAATCACTACATTAAGTTAAGCACAATTAACTACATACTTAAGCACATTTAGTCAGTATAATCATGTCCTTAGATGAAAATTATTATATTTAATAATCATTGTTTATACTTGCATGACAATAATTTACAAGGCACAGCTTTTTGCAATTTTCACAACAACTCTATAGATTAGTTAGGGCAAATATGATGATGATGACAGTGATGGTGATGTCCTTTTGTTTTGGAAAGTCAGAAATAAAAATCAATTTTACTTCATAAGTTACATGTCTCAAAAGTGGTGATTATAATAAGCAGCTCTGAGAAGGTTAAGAATGTTGCATACATCATTTTTAAGTAGAGTTGGTATGTAATATTATATTAGTCATATTAATTTCAGGGGTACAATACAGTAATTGGATGTTTTTATAGTACTTGACAATGTGAGGTGACACCTTTTTTAAAGATATGCAAATGAGATTTGGAGAGCTGAATAGGCCTCCTTTGGATCACACAGCCAGTTGGTGAGAAGGTTTTCCCTCTTCATAATCAATGCTCTTTCTGTTGCTCAATATCATAGGTTATATATTTATTGTAAAACATTTTTAAACTTAAAAAACAAAGTCCTTTTTATGCATGCAGCAATTTGTGTTCATTAGCAATTAAAACAAAAAAGTTCAGATTTCTCAGTATGTGTCGCTCTTTATGTAAATGGTTCATCAAGTAATGAGCAAGAAAGGAAACACTAAAGCCTAGAAAAATTAAAAATAGGTATTAAATGTTTTTCCTTATACACTTAAATTTTAGGTAGTTTTAGAAAGGGCTCAATGCAAAGATTGGAAAACTGTGAGGTAACTTGTAGATAAAAATATTTAAAACTCTGATCTTCCTTAAATTTCCTTAGTTGTTTTAACTTGACTTATGTTAAAGGTATTTTTTTCCATTTTAAGAAAAACAATCAAATAGAAAAACTATCTTTATAAAAGCCTAAGTGACCATTCGTCTGTCCAACTGGTTGCTATAACACACAATGACCACCAGGGGCAGACATTCTGACCAGTAGTTATGATACGCACTTATCAGCAGTGGGCAGACACTCAACACAGAAGCTTCTGTGCTGCGGTGACTTGGTAGCTGCAGTTCTCAGGTGACACACTGGAACCAGAGAGGAGGGAGCCCGATTCTGGGGTGCATCACCCAAGAACTGCCCTCTCACAATCTGAGACCCCTCAGGGGTCCAGTTTCGGCCTGATCCCGACAGGCCAAGCTAAGGGACCCCACCAGTGCACAGGACTTGGACTCTAGTTTTTTATATTTATATTAGAGGCCCAGGGCACAAATTTGTGCATGGGTGGGGCCCAGCCAGCCTGCCCCAATGGGGGCCCACGGGTGGTTGGCCAGCCCTACCCCCAATCAGGGTGATGAACTTCTTTAGCTTTTTCTTTTCTGTGAAGCTCTTTATCGGGCCTCCAATTCTAAATGAGCTTTGCTGGGTAGAGAAGAGCATGGCCAGAAATATTCAGTGACAAAGAACAGGGACCTGCAGCTAGGGTGACCTTCATTTTGAAAAGATGTGGCTGCTCTGGGAACTGAGAGTTCGGTCTCAGTGAAACCTGGTCAGTCTTTGCATCAGGCAAGTGGAATCCCTGAGGCCGTCTTGAGAGTTGCCAAGGCTGGGGGTGTGATCTCAGAACAATTAAAAACACATTCGTGAAGAGATGTTATGCGTTCTCTTTCAGCAAAAAGCCTACATGTCTGTGCTACACCAACAGAGTTGCTTTAACAATGAAGCCTCCATCCACAAGCCCACCCACCTCCAGGAGCTGGCAGAAGGTTGCAAGAGGCTGCGTAGATGAGGCTGGTGCCAGGTGACCTGGCAGGTGTCAGCAGCTCGGCAGTCTGAGCCTCAGGCACAGGGAGACAGGCTGTGACATCAGCACCACTTGGAGGGTTTGACAGCATCAGCAGCAGCTCCAGAGCTTGTTGCTATTTTGTTTTATTTTTATCTCATTTTCCCTTTAAACCTCTCCAGGTTACATGCATTCAAGAGAGGAGCAGCCTTTGCAGAGAGCATACCTTCGATCTAGGTTCACCTACAGCCAGACAGAGTCCTGTTTAGAAACCGTGTAGGTCTTGCATTATTTGCACTATTACCAATAAAAAGTTTTAAATTCTGGCACGTAAACATGTTTCCTTCTTATTCATGAGGGCAGGAGGCTGAGTGCAGCCACAGGCACAGCCACAATTCTTCACTCACTCACAGGCCTCCATCCAAGGGAAGGGATGCAGGCCCTTTGCACACGGAGGGGTCTGGGGAGCAGGGTCGGGCAGCAAACACAGAACATGGTCATCCGTGGCCTTTTCCCATACTTTCTTCGTCCCAATCTTCCTGCTCAGGGTCTTTAGCATCTTCCTCAGATGGCTGTAGGACATGACTGGGCTGATTGGTTGGAAAGAGGGCCCACTGGCAGGAAGGAGGGGCCATGATGGTTGGCCAGCCCTACCCCCAATCAGGGCGATGAACTTCTTTACCTTTTTCTTGTCTGTGAAACTCTTTATCAGGCCTTCAATTCTAAATTAACTTTGCTGGGTAGAGAAGGGCATGGCAAGAAATATGATGTTTATCAGACTCTGTCAGCATGGGGTTCCTGAATCAGGCTCCCTTTGGCATTGTGGTGATGGGGGAGGACAGCATGAAGTTGCAAACACAACCCGTGCAGACTCCTTGTTGAGTCTTCTGTATACCTTCTGTATACCTTCTATTGATAAATACCTGATGGGCATCTCCCCTCAGAAGGGGTGCCGACAGCTCAGTTGCATGCTCCCTCTAGGCAGGGAAGCCTGAGGGAGGGGCTGTGGGAGGTTGGTAAGAGACAATCCAGCCAGATCAGGCTGGTTGGCTGCTGCAATGTGTGTCATAGCCACCAGTTGTTCCGGTTGTTTTGGTCGTTCTGCCATTATGGTCACTGGGCTTTTATATATATTAGAGGTCTGATGCATGAAGACTCATGCAAGAATGGGCTTTTCTTCCCCTGGCTGCCAGCAGCACCTTTGCTGGAGCCAGAGCCACCTTTCCGCCTTCCCACGCTGCCCAGAGGTCCGGAGCAACTGGGGTCGAGCAGGAAGCATCCTGCCCCGCCCCCGGCCACTTAGTGCCTGTATATGCAAATTAATCTACCATCTTTTTTTGGTTAATTTGTATAATCATTCCTGATTGGCTTATGGGCATCATAATTTGCATCTTACTCTTTTATTAGTATAGAAAGAAACTATAAAATCACAAGTATATATAACAACAACAAAAGAATCAAGGTTTTACAGTGTTTACTGCTTTCTTTTAGAACATATGCAAGAAAAGGAAATAAAGACATCAACTCGAGATGTGTCATTTGACATACATCATCCCATAAAGTATAAAACAATTACACGGTTCACTATAGTTCTGTTTGTATAATACATTTGCAAAAGAGTTTGTTACATACCTAGGAATTATATAAGGGGGACAGCTAATTTTCTCTAATATTAATGACTAATATCTGAGTTAGAACCGAAAAGGAGATTTTTCATATACTAGGAATGATTTTAATTTTTCAATTTTGAACTACTTAAATTTTTTTGGTTGATTTTAATAGCACATTAAATGTTATTACATATGAATTATGGAAGCATAAAAATATTACACTTGTTCTCATTAATAGACTGTATTTTATACACTTTCCTTTTAATAAAAATGTAATATCTTAAAATGTTCATTTATGTGTCAAACTAAATTATGTTGCAATTTTCATTTAAACAGCTGAGATGGACTCTATAAGGAAAAAAGGCTTATGATATTACTCTATTTAAAGTAGTAGTGGTGCATATTGATGCCCCACTACTAATCCAATTAACTACTCCTCTAGTGAGATGAACTTAAGTGTCTTTGCTGTTCCCTCCTCCCCCTAGCTAAACTCAATTCAGAAATGCTTACTAAACTGGCACGCACAAATATCTAATCATAGTAATCTTAATTCGATTTATCATGCACTAGTATAAACTCACCATATGAGAATCTGTGCACTCATCTTGATTCTCGTTTTTCCCATGGCTAAAAATTGAGTCAGATGGTAATTCTCTTTTACATATAATTTCCAAGACTTTCAGAGTAAATTGCACACTTGAAAAAATGTTTGGATACATATAATATGACTCTCCAGAGAAAGAAAGTGCTATTGTAAGAATAAAAATTTGTGAGAAATATTTCATTAATATCTTGTATAGTATTTCATTTGTCTTTTAGTTATTAAAGTATAATTAAATTCAGTACTTCAATGCTGAAACTGCTGTACAATTCCCCATGCAGATTTATAATGTTAGGTATTCCCCCTTGTGGTGTAATAGAAAACTACAAGGTAAATAATTCATACATGAAATTTTGTATGGTGGAGTGCCCAATTAGGAACAGTTACTGCCCACCTGGGTTGAGCATTGACCTTTGATCCAGGAGGTCACAGTTCAATTCTCAGTCAGAGCACATGCCTGGGTTGCAGGCTCAATCCCCAGTAGGAGGCAAAGAATGATGCTCATCATTGGTGTTTCTAGCTCTCTCTCCCCCTCTCCCTTCCTCTCTGAAATCAATAAAAAATATATTTAAAAAAATAATAGTTACTGCACAACAATGCTTGGAAACTTCCAGCTGATAAGACATAAAATTATAATAGATACCATATTTATAATGAATACTTTAAAATTATAATCCTAGAAAAAAACTAATGTAATTGCTTTTAACTCAACATTCTCCATTTTTATTCCTTTTCAAGATGTTATTAATTTTTTAAAGTATATATTTTAAGTATAGCGACAATTATGTCATTTAACATAAGACTATATGGTATTTAACAGAACCATCTTCATGGTGTTCCTCTATATATAAACTTTTAGACTATCTCTGAGTTTCAGTTCAATGACAGAGTGGAAAAATTCATAATAACCAATCTTTTACTGGATTGCTATATGTTTAGGTGGCATCTGCTAATAGCCTTGCATAGGATGACTAGACACTTAATATATTAGGCTTTTATTATATAGGATCCTTTATTTAATTCCTTAAAATGTTCAACATAGTGATTCTTCGCATCTTCAGATTATGGTGACAAGTAAATTTTGAAGACTTACTTGAATAAAACCTAAAGTTCTCACTTTAGCCTGTTATTGTGGATATATCCCAAGAAAGCCAATATCTTTATTTCACATAAAGATAAAATCTCCAAATTTTGCCCTCTTATCAAATACTGTTAAGTACAGCCTTACTTAGGCTATTATCTCTGTTTCCAAGAACAGAGATATAGCCTATTAACCAACATGTAAAACTTAGGGTTCCTCTTCAATTCCTCGCTTTCCCTTCTACAATATATTGCCTATATCCAACTGATCGCTTAAGTCCAGTGTCTTTTTAAGACTGCTTTACTGTAAAATAAGAAAATATTCTTATTTTAATTGTATTTAACATCTCTTGCCTACACTGATGTCATAGCTAACTGACCTCCACATCCACTCTCTCCTTACTCCAGTCCAGCTCCCCCTGCTTCACCACTAGGGCTACCTTACTAAAATATGAATTTAACTTCCTTACAATCTAGAATAGTGACTACTACATATGAGGAAATTGAGTCAGACAAGGTGGTAGAAGTAGTTAAGTAGAAAAGTAAAAAGTAAAAACCCAAGCAACTTGGTCCAAAAACTGCTCTTCAATATTGTACCCATAATCTTTCCTGAAATAGAAAACACAGCTTATGCTCTTTATAGTGATAACCTGAGCTTCTCAAAATATAACATAAAACACTCATAAGTATAGAAAATAAGAGATAGTCTACCGTATAAAAATGGTTGAAGTCTAAGTAAGTGTTCTTTAAAACTTTCTAGGTGACCATACAGGAAATATATAAAAAGTCTTAAGGAGATCAAATAGCCAATCTGTCAAAAGAGAAACGAAAAAGCATTTTTTGTGTTGCATCAATAAATGTTTAAAAACCATAAAGAAAATAAACCATTTTGTTATTACATTGGCTTTTGATGGAACAATTTCAAACTCTTGAGATTGTGTGCTTTTGAAATAATTCTTAAACATTTATATCAAGGTTGAAATACTGGTTCAGCCAAAAACACATTTATAAATCATCTCTACATTACATATAATGACAATACTGAGTGATATTTTGTTCTGTATCTTTTAAAACAGTATTTTTCAAATTGCAAGCTATGCCCTTTAAGTGAGTCATGAAATCAACTGAGAGGGGATTTTTAAATAAAATAAAATACCTAGTACATTGCACAGTTCCTTTTTTCACTTATATATAAGTATGTTTTCATGTGTGTGCTGTTTGCAATGCAAAACATATTTCTCCCTATGGGTCTCAGTCAAAACAATTTAAAAACATTTTTAGGTAGTTAGAAAAATAGTTTGCATGTTCATAATATTCTGTACTAAGGTCCCCATTCCCTCATGAAAAAAATATCATACACACACACACACACACACACACACGTGCGCAATGTCCAAAACAACCAAAGGCTGGACCAAACACTAGAAGTCAGTTCTGCAGTCATTGCTGGGTCACCATGGCAACCCAGCTCTGACTGCCACGTTGAAGGCGCCTCAGCAACACAGCACTGACTACCATGAGGCTGCGTTTAGGCATGGTCAGAGGCTGGGACAAAAAGCAGGGTCTGATCACCGCCACTGTGGCAGTCAGTGCTGGGTTGATGAAATGGGAGTCAGTCCTACAGTCAGTGAAATTAGGGTCAATTACAATAATATTAAGTGAACGAAGGGTAAATTAATGTCTCTTTGGGAGGAGTTGAGAATATAAAGTACAGTGTAGAGCAATTTACTTATATTATTTCATATAATATAAACTCTTTTCCTTTATTTAAAATGTATTTTATTGTTGAAAATATTACACATGTCCCTTTGTGTTAGTTTTTTTTTTTCCCCCCCATTGATCTTCTCTATCCTGCACCCACCCCTTCCAGGCTTTCACCAGACTATTGTCTGTGTCCTATCTAAAAATCTAGAAAGATTTAGAGGGGGGAAATAAAAGCTATGCCAGGTAAATACTGGACAGCTGAAGTTGATGCATGAATACTGGATAAAGGCTTGAAGCCAAAACAACTCATGAGATAAAGTTAGTCACTGTAACATAACAAAAGGTTCCTTTCACTAAAGAGATAAGGTGGATCCCAACACTTATACAGTGGTGCCTCACACAACGAACTTAATTCGTTCCAGAAGCAAGTTTGTTATGTGAAAAGTTCGTTATGTGAAACGCGTTTTCCCATAACAATACATGTTAAAAAAAATAATTCGTTCTGTAGCATAAAATATGCTAAGATGACATAAAAAAAGATAAATTTTTTGTTATTATTTTTATTTAGATACATCTAAAAACATAATTTTTAAAAAACACACACATTTTTTTAATTTTAAGACAGACTAAGTAGAGTCTACCGAATCTTGCACATCTTCATCCATTTTCTGCTTTTTGGCCGATGGTTTCATGAAAAACCTGTCCAAAGTCGTTTGTTTTTCTCTTTTCTCCAACATCTGCCGGAAATAACGGACAAGAGTATCGGAGTAAAGATCGTTGATCCTGTTTGCTTCAGCTGAATCCGGATAGTGGGCATTGGTAAACTCCTGAACTGCTTTCCATTTGACCAGGATGTTCTTGATGTCAGCAGTTGGGATTGGTTGATTGTTTGATTGTTGCTCCTCGTTATCAGATGACGCTTCCCTTTGAGCATTGTCCTGTTGCTGGACCAGAAGAGCTTGGAGCTCTTCAGTTGTCAGCTCTTCTTCGTGTTCCTCAATAAGCTCCTCTACATCCTCTTCCTCTACCTCTAATTCCAACCTTTGGGCCACTGTGATGATGTCCTTCACCACTTCTGTGTCATCAACTACTGCTTCTTCCTGGGTCCACGAAGGCACAAGCATCTTCCAAGCAGAAATGAGGGTCCTTTGTGACACTTCTTCCCAGGCCTTCTGTATAAGTCGTATTGCCATAAGGACATCAAATTTCTCCTTCCAAAACTTTCGGACAGTCATATTGTCTCCACCAAACTCGCATTCTTCAAACACCTTATTAAAGAGGGCTCTAGTGTAGAGTTTTTTAAAGTTCGCAATAACTTGCTGATCCATTGGCTGAAGAATGGATGTGGTGTTTGGTGGCAAATACTGCACCTTGATAAAAGGATAATTTTCCTGCAATATTTCCTCTAGGTCTTTTGGGTGAGAAGGGGCATTGTCAAGTATCAGAAGGGCTTTGAGCGGCAGTTCTTTTTCCAGCAAGAATTTCTTCACGGCAGGAGCAAAGGTTTCCAGAATCCATTTGTTGAAGATACATAACTTGGGTCACCCAGGCTTTTTGATTGGACTTCCAATGGACGGGCAGTTTGGACTTAATAACGTTATTTTTCTTGAAAATTCTTGGATTTTCAGAGTGATAAACCAATAGAGGTTTGATCTTGAGGTCTCCGCTGGCATTAGACGAAAACATAAGGGTAAGTCTGTCCTTCATGGCTTTGTGTCCTGGCAATTTCTTCTCCTCTTTTGTAATGAAGGTTCTGCTCGGCATTCTTTTCCAGAAAAGACCCATTTCATCGGCATTGAACACTTGTTGTGGGCAGTATCCTTCATCCTTAATACATTTTTGAAAGTTAATAGAGAACTTTTCTGCTTCTTTCTTGTCAGCACTGCCAGCCTCACCATGCATAGTAACGCTGTGGATTCCACACCTTTTCTTAAATCTAAAAAACCACCCCCTGCTGGCTTTGAATTCTTCTTCATTATCTTGATTGCTGCTACTTCCAGGGACGTTTTTCTTTAGATCGTCATAAATTCTCTTGGCTTTGTGACAGATAATATCTTGGGTTGTTACGTCACCTTTCACCTGCCTGTCCTTAATCCAAATCGCTAATAGCCTCTCCATTTCCTCGTGGATTGAAGACCTATGTTTTTCATGAAATAGTTTTGATACTCCTTTGGCTACTTTGGCTGATTTGATTGCATCCTTATTTGTCAAAATGGTGAAAATGGTGGTCTTGCTGAGGCCAAACTCTTTGACGAGGTCACACTGTTTTACCCCACATTCACTCCTTCTAATTATTTCCTGTTTCATTTCAACAGAAATCACCTTCCTGCTTTTTTTAGAAGCCATGATATAAAAAAAATATTGAGTTTAACTTAAAAGGACGACTGCCGTGATACGTGCGTGATTTAATTCGTAATGAAGAACGATTGCCGCGATACGTGCTTAAGTTAAGCGCAGTGACTAACAACTGCCTGCAGTGCCTGCGCGGAAGGATGCAATACATCAGCAGCGATCGTGGAAGCTCGGGCAAAGCGGTCGTGGAAGCTCGGGCGACTTCGTTGTGTGAAACGAAGTTCGTTGTATGAATCATGAAATGAAGTTTGTTGTGTGCAGTGTTCGCTGTGCGAGGCGTTCTTTATGCGAGGCACCACTGTATAATACACATAATAGAACAGTGTGAGGGTTCGGAATGAATCTCACCAAGATGTGTCTAAGTGGGATGCAGATTTTTTGAGCTAAGGGAAATTTTAGTTTCAGGCTCAGGTGAAAATTCTGCCCCTCCCTTTACCTATAAAAAAGTTGAATTAGAGGTCTTGCTCATAATAACACATTATCCTATATAATAAAAGGCTAATATGCAAATTGAACACCAGAACAACCAGTTGCTATGACATACACTGACCACCAGGAGGCAGATGCTCAATGCAGGAGCTGTCGCTGGCCGTCAGTGTGCTCCCACAGTGGGAGTGCCACTCAGCCAGAAACCAGGCTTATGGGTGGCTAGTGCAGCAGTGGTGGTGGGAGCCTCTCCCGCCTCTTGGCAATGCTAGAGATGTCCGAATGATGGCTAAGGCCCACTCCCCATAGGGAGCCACCGAACACCCCCTGAGGGCTCCCAGACTGCGAGAGGGTGCAATCCGAGCTGAGGGACATCCCCCCCGAGTGTACAAATTTCATGCACCAGGCCGCTAGTAAAACTATAAAACCACTAGTGAAGCTAAATTTCTTTTACTAACAATAAATTTTGCAGCAGGCAACATGATCGCCACACATGACATCAGTCCAGGAGCTTATAAAACATGAACTACTGGAAGATGATTTCCCATTTGCTGGCTCTAAAATGGCTGGGAATACTTTGAGAAGAATGCTTTTTCTCAAACTAAGCAAGCATTTTAAAAAGTGAGCAGGCATTTAAGATGATCTGTTGGCATTTTTAAATAAAAAAGTGGCATTTTAAAATCCTTAAAATAGAGAGGAGAAAAGCTACATATACTAAGATATAAGGACAAGCTTGATTTTTAATTGAATCCTAGAGACCTGGTGCATGAAATCTGTGCACAAGGTGAGGAAAGAGTCCCTCAGCCTGGCCCGTGCCCTCTCACAGTCCAGGACCCCTCGCTCCTTACTGCCCACCTGTTCACTGCTCCTTACCGCTTGGCTTACTGCTCCTTAAAGCTGCCTACACGACTGTGCTAGCCAGCCATGAGCCCAGCTTCTGGATGAGCAGCGCTCCCCCAGTGGGAGCGCACTGACCACCAGGAGGCAGCTCCTGTGTTGAGTGTCTGCCCCTGGTGGTCAGTGAGTGTCACAGCAACCAGTCATTCTGGTCGTTCCACCACAAAGGTCACTTGGGCTTTTATTATATAGATTATTGTCTTACATAGTTGGTGATATATTTTCTAGAACTATCTCTGTTTGAATAGCAAACAATAATACATTATCCAGCCTACCCAGTGTGGCTCAGTGGTTGAACATTAACCTATGAATCAGAAGTCATGGTTCGACTCCAATCAAGGCATATGCCAGGATTGCATGCTCAATCCCAGGAGGGGATGTGCAGGGTGCAGCCTATCAATGGTTCTCTCCCATCATTGAAGTATCTGTCTCTCTTCCTCTCTGAAGTCAATAAAAGTATTTTTTAAAACTGCATTACCCACACATTTAGAGAAGACTGACACAAACTGCCAAGTGAGAAAATACTCTATAATAAACCAAACACTGTTCAGATCCTAACGCAGATTCCATAGTTACACATAGTACATGTAGTAATTACAACACATTAAAAATATTTTAAAACATACCTTTGCCAGCTTTATTTCCACAGAAAATAAGTATGGCTTTAGGAATGCATCACAACAGAGTCTATAAAAAATCGATTCCGCAAGAAAAAATAAGGCAGGTGGATGATCATAATAAAAGGAAGCATGGTCCAAGGAAGTATAAAGTATATTTAAAGCTTCTGAAAAATCAAAAAGTAGAAACTCTATAATTGATAAATTATACTGTTTTCTACATGCTATACAATTAAGTTTTACAGTGAACTATTTGCTCAGTCCCAAGACCAGACTGTAGTTTTAAAATATTTACATATTCTTTGACACCTCTCCCATCAAGTCAGTCTCCTTGTCCTTGAACCTGATCAGGCCTGCTTCAACCAATAAACTGTGGCAGAATTAACATGGCTGGGTTTCCAAGACTAGATTAGAAAAGGCAATCCAGCTGCCACCTGGATCTTTCTTTCAAAAAGGAACTTTGGAATCCTAGGCTGCCATGGAAGAAGTCCAGCTTTTTCAGAAGTCACAAAGCTTGAAAGACCATAGAGACAGGTGTGAGAAAGAGAAAGAGAGAGAGAATGCCCAAGAAGCTCCAGCCAACACAAAACAGATCACTGAGACACATACATAATAGTGTGGGAAATAAGACAGAAGTGTATGACAAAAGACAGTGCTAAAGGTAAGTGCTATAAAAGAGAAGAGTAGGAAATCAAGGCAGAGAAAATAGGGCCCAGTGGAACTGAACAAGGAAGAATATTGAGTTTAGGCCCTAAAGAAAATTGCACCTCAAGTCATCACAAAGATTTGAGGAACTGTCATATAAGTATTAATATATGAGGAAGAACAGCAAATACACAAAGATTTGAAAAACAGTCATGTAAGTATCTGAAGAAGAACAGCAAATGCAGGGACTTGAAAAAGGAAAAGCCCTGGCAAGTCCAAGGGATGGGTAAGAGACCAGCATGGCTGTAGCATAGTGAATAAGTAGGGAAGGCAGCCAAGAACCAGATCATCCATAGCCCGGTAGCCCATAATATAAAGTTGGAGTTCTTTTTAGGTTAAGATAAAGAAAATATTTAATTTAGAATGATCTCTGCTGACTGGAGGGTAGACAGTGGGATAAGGAACCTCCAGTTCAGGCTACAGCCTACAGGGTACAGGCTGGACACTGATGATGAGAGTGTTTCAGTTGTGGAGCTGCTAGAAAGAAATCATACTTAGGGCTTTTGTTTGGAGTTCAATATTATAATGAGCTTTTGGCTGTGTGTAACAGAAAAACAGTGTCTTCAAATAACTAATGTGTAACTTCACAAGATTCAACTTGGAAAGTTTCCGAGGCTGGTGAAGGTAACTGCCCTCTATGTGCATTTCCCCATCTTTTGGCTCCCTGGTGTACCTGATGATTGTGAGGACTACACAAGCACTAGGCATTTTGTTCTTTGCACCACATCACTGAGAGAAGAATCCAGAGAGCATAGGGAGGAAAGGGGTGCTTTGTTCTCAGATATGTCTTTTTCTAAAGCAATTCAAAGAATAAGTATTCCAAACAGACTCAACTTCACATCTCTTGATCAGGACCAGGTCCTGTGACTACCCCATCTATCTAATCACTGATGTTTAAAGGGCTGTTGTCTTAATTAGCTTAGCTCAATCATTATTCACTCCTGAGGCTGGGAAAGACCAGTTCACTTCTGAATCATGTGACTGCAGGATGCCTGAACAAAACTGAGGCTTACTTGACAAAGAGGAGCAAGTGGCTACTGGTTGCTGGTAAGTCAAGAGTGTTTACTTCCTTATCATTTAAACATTTAATAGAGGTGAAGCTGTGGATGGCACTGTGACAAAGTGTCGTATAGGCAAGCTAAATGCAAAATTGTTTTTATTCTTCCTGTTTGGAAGCTCCCAGGCAGCACTACAAAACCCAATTTACACAGGGAAATACTCTCTGACCTCATGCACTTCACGTTCTAAAAACTCATTTTAAAAGGCACACACATAAAATTTAGGATAATGATAGAAGCAATTTTACCTCCTTAAAAATAATGGTTTTTAATTTCTTTTTTAGATTAGTTGGAGGGTAGTTTGAAAGGAGACATATAAGTGAGAAGTGATAAATGAAAAGGTAATGAGTAAAGTGGCTGTTTAAAATAAGTGAAAAACTAACGGCCATTTGGTTAATGTTTTATGAGTAAGAATTCTAAAATGCAAAATCAAGTTTCTCTATAAGTCTCTATTGTAATTGAAAAATCACTAAATGACACTTTATATTACTTTTTAATTAGTTACTAATTTTAGAAAAAAGCAATAAAGAAAATGCTAAGCAAAAGAGTTTAAAGCAATTTTGTAATTAAAAAGTTGAGCAAATTCATTAATTCAAAATTACAAAAGGAACTTTCATAATGAAACATTATCAGGTATTTCGATAGAGAAAGACAAATTTTTCTTGGATCCTGGACAATTTCTAAATATTAAAGGTCTCATATTATACCTTCACTGCTAATTAAAAAAAACACACATGCACACACACTTAAGGTATCTAGGAAGAATTTAGTTAAAGCACATACCATCTTGAATTTCTCCTTTGCATTGAGCCAGAAAGGATACTTCAATCCATGTAGTAGGAAGATGCACATGTTCCCCAGTGCCTAATGTGCTGAGACCCAATTTTCTCTGTGTGATGAGGAAACATGAAAGAGGCAAACAAACATGTACTATTTATTTATTTAAATTATCCCTTAATTATATTTTCAAAGTCATTCTATGAGGCTGATACTCTGTGGCTATAATTTTTTTATTTTTTATTTTTGCTTTTATTATTTTTACATGTTGATCCTTTATGTAAACTGTTCTAGTATTAAAATGCAGAGAACGTTTGCTACCACTCTGATATTAGTTATTTGTTGAAAATAATTATCACTCTTCATTTTCTAGGGTTTTCTTCTATTTTTATCTCATTTCCCTTCCAAGAGGATGTATCTCTGATTTTTAAAAAGAAAATAAAAATATATTGATGAAATGTGATTCAATAGGAATTAGTTTCACAACAAACTGCTGAAAAATTCTGACTACTGCACTGTAGATAGGCAGAAGTTAATAAATATGACAACCTCTGTGCATATAGAGTGATGGTTAAGAAAAGCTTTCTTCCCTCTTTGGGATACATCATATCTCAGTTACTGTTTTTAAAAGACAAAGTAGAATTTTCATTATCAAAAATGTATTTACCAGCATTTGATATTTTGATGCGGGCTTTTTGATTGGTGTCAGCAGCTATAATCCCTAATAATTTAATAAGAATCTCACTCCAGAAGCCATTTGACATTGAATCATCTCTACATATAAAAAGCTAATATGCAAAATGTCCCCTCTGGAGTTCCACCAGGAAAACAGGAGCTGGATCACTCGCTAGAACATGCGCAGACCACCAGGGACAGTGTGAGACATTGGTGAGCAGCAGCAGTGGGGCACTGATGGAGAGAGGAGGTGGGGATGTGGGGAGATGGGGAACCTGATCTTTCCTGATCACCTATCAGGCCTAGCAATCTTACCTGTACATGAATTTCATGCACTTGGACTCTAGTTTGATTAAAAACTTGAATTTGCATTAATATTTTTAACTATGCCTACTTATAATTAAAGAAAGGTGTATTCTTTTTTTTTTTTCTTTCAATATTTTAGAACAAATAATCATCCACCAACTAGAACAGAAAGTTCACATAACAACTAAACCAAATAATGTAACACTACCTTGCATTTGAGAAGGATTTTTCTAGCTAGGTCCAACAATTTTTCCTTCTCTTTTCGATTTTTTGTTTCATTGAATCTCAGGATGAATTCTGCCGTGATTGAAAATGGTGGCCTAAACAAAACAAAACAAAAATCAATAAATATAGCTATCACTTCTAAATTTTAATTAACCAACTTCTGACGGTTAAGTATAACTATTTTTTCTTAAAAAGCACCTTATAAGAATGTTTTACACAAAAACAAGTCAGTAAAACAATATATATTTATAGTCCTCCTAGATTAATCTTATCATACTTAGCATTTTTTGATTGAGAAACAAAATTCTCATGATGTTAATGAACTTTATAGCCTCTGGAAAAAAGTTTCTGGGATGGTTGTCAGAAATCTTGTTGGTATATGCCTTCTTCATAGGTAAAATCCAGCACAGCTTTAATTATAAAGACTGATTTATCTCCTTATATATGTCACTATTAGTTGAATTTAAGATAAACCTTTATCTCATAATATAAGCTGAATCAGTCCAACATGGCTGGAGTGAGCAGGGAAAGAAAGATATATGTAGTAAGGTCAGAGTGACAAGTAGCCAGATTAACTCTAGATAAGATGGGAAGCCATTACAGAGCTTTGATAAAAGGTATGGCATGATTTAATTTAATTTTTAACATGATCATCCCAATTCTGGGTTGAGAGTTGAAGTGTGGGGAGATAGATGTAGCAAGGGAGGAAGCACACATATTTAAGTGAGAGGTAATAGTGGCTTGGATCAGAGTTCTAGCAATGCAAGTAAAAAGAACAGTTTGGATATTGGATGTAGCTTGATATGAGCTCTAATCAGACTGTCCAATGAATTAGAAATTGTGAGGGGGAAAGGGAATTATGATTGAATTGAGTATGTAAGGCTTTCCAAAGCTGCTCAATTTGCTTATTTCTCTCTTTCAAGCTTTGTGTGACACACGTAAAATTCTAGGCTTCTTTAAATTAATAAAAGAGGTTTCATACACTGGGGAAAAAAATGATTGAACTGAGTAACTGGAAGGATGGAATTGCCATTTACTGAGTTGGAGAATATTGATACAGGAGCAGATGTGGGGTGAAGGTAGGGAATAGGTTCAGTATTGGGACATGTTATGTTTGAGATGACCATGGTCATCCAAGTGACAGATGGATAGATGAGTTTAATCTCAGAAAAAAAGTTTCATTCTTGATACATCCTTTTAAAAATCATTAACATATATAAGATCTTTAAAGTCTTATGAATTAAAAGAACCCCATGAGGAAAGTATAGAGAGAGTACATAAGTATATAAAAGAGAAGTGAGACAAATAAGTTGAGGTTGTAGGCTAGAAAATGAGCAGACTGATTATAATAAGGTACCACAGAATATAAGCTGGGCATGGAATCAAAAGTGATATCAAAGACATAATGAATAGATAGTATAATTAATGAGTTATTTATTGGTGTAGGCAAATAATTGTTGGAGTCATGCTATTCAGGAGTGATCTGGAAGACTAAACATATTTTTAACATCTTACTATATTCAGAATTTACTGAATTGGCTAATCTGTGGGATATAGAAAAGAAAACATGAATAGAAATTAGACTTTGCTTCTGATTAATTCACAAACCAATTGGGGAGACATACGTACACAAAAGTAATCACAGTGACACATGATCACAGGATAGGCAGAGGTAATAGTATAATGCCTTGTAATTAGAACCAAATATAGATATCCTAGATAAAAACAATTAATGAAATAAGCAAGTTAAAGCCTGGCTGGTATAGCTCAATGATTGAGCATTGACCTATGAACCAGTGTGTCACAGTTTGATTCCTGGTCAGGGCACATGCCTAATTTTGGGTTCAAAACCTAGTTGCGAGTGGGCAGAAGGCAGCCAACCAATTATTATCTCTCGTTATCGATGCTTCTATTTCTCTCTCTCTCTCTCTCTCTCCCTTTCCCTCTTCTTCTCCCTCTTCCTCTCCTTCCCCCTCTCTTTCTCTCACTCTTTCTCTTCCTCTCCAAAATAAATAAAAATATTTTTTAAAGAAATAATCAACTTTTTAACTGCCATACTAAAATGGATGTTCACTTGGTCATATATTTAGTAATACTTATTGACTATCTTCTATATATCAGGAACTAAGCTTGGAATTGGGGATATAACTGTGAAATAAATTAAAAAAAACAAAACCCTGCCCTCATGGAGCTTATAGTAAAATAAAGAATTGAGGTGATAGAACTTATAAAATCTCCTAGAATTTGACATTTTTAAATAATTTTATTATTTTTTATGTTTTTATTGGTTTTTAGAGAGAGACAAAGGGAGGAGGAGATGCTGATAGAAACATGGATGAGAGAGAAACATTGATTGGCTGCCTTATGCATGCCCCCTACTAGGGATCTAGCCTGCAACCCAGGCATGTGCCCCAGCTGGAAATCAAACCCTGACCTCCTGGTGCATGGGTTGATTGATACTCAACCACTGAGTCACACCAAACAAGCTGAGTAACTTTATTCTTGATTTCCTATTATTTATTTTACCTAGCACCTCTGTGAGTCAAACATTCTTCTAGCAATAGAACACAGCAGAAATGAATAAAAAAGCAAATGTGCAATCACTTGCCTCATGGATTATATACTCTATTGGAGGAGAGTAGATATGCAATATCTACAAGAAAACAAAGAACAAGATGATTTCTGAGAGTCACTGCTATGAAGACAAAAGCATAGTAGTATGAAAGAGAATACAGGGCAAGAGAGCTATTTTACATTAGGCAATCAGGGAAGATTTCAAGGGACACAAATCTGAGCTGGGATGAGAGAGAGACCAAGACCATGGACAAAGAGAAACTGATGATAAATCAGAGTTAGCTAGGAGCTAGATCTTGCAGGGTATTTAGACCAGAAGGTAGGGTCTGGATTTTACTCCAGATGTAATGGAAAAACAATATAGACTAAACTAGAGCATGAAAGATTTAATTTACATTCTAAAAATATCATTTAGGCTGCTGTTTAGAGAGCAGGAGCAGGGATACTGATTAGGGAGCTGCTGCAGAAAATCAAGGAATTAGATGATGGTGACTTAGTAGAGGAGAAAGTGATAGAGATGAAGAAACTGCTTAACTACAAAGGGCCAAGAGTTCATCTCAGCTCTAAATCTAAAGCCCACAAAAATCCGTTCCATAATTTAGTATTGATGTATCTGTCTTTTAGTCCTTGCTGTAACTTGAGGTTCTTAAGTTTTTCCTTATTGCTGTATATACAATTTGCTTAGTGAACACCTGGTGATTAACTGATACTAAACTGTACTTTCTCTGTTTTACAGAGGCAGGGGTGGGAAGAAGGCTCAGAGAGGTTAAGAATCACACTTAAGATCATAGTTTTACAACAATAGTGAGCAGAACCAATATTTGAAATAAGATGTCTAAGTCTTTTTACTCACGTTTTTTATAAGGTCCCTCAGAATATATTACAGTATAGAAATATATACTATGTGCATTCTTCTTAATAAAATAATAGTCAATGTGACTTAAGCCTATTTCTCCACTACCATTTACAGACAGCCCCAACATATCCAACATACACACACAGAAGCACACATACAATATTCAGGATTTCAAATACAAATTAAAAAATATATTTTCTAAAATGAGATATTTTAACTTCTCATAGGCTCTGAGGAAAATGCATTTGTTTGATTTTATTTCTAAAGCACAGAAAAAAAAAGCCTCAGGATGAAAACAATATATAATTTAATTTCTATGCTTAGAATACACTTTATAAATAATTTAAGTTTTGTTGATTATTTTTCAATATGGATTGTGGCCTGTAATGAATCATAGAAAATATGAAAAGCCAGTTATTTTCAGCTTTCTGTATAGATATCACATACTTAATTGGTCTGCCACACTCATGTCAATAAATATATTAATGGAAAAATCAATATAGCTATTTTAATCATTCCTTACCCATAACAAATAAATTGAGATTGTTATACAAATTAATAGTTATTTAATGATAAATTCAATACATGATAAGAATCAAAAAGAAACTTTGAAATAGCAAATATAGGCATAATCAAGTGAATAAGATCTGAAAATAAAGATTTCACATTCACCTACATATCAGTGATACTCAAAACCATAAAATTTTAAGAGGAAGAGTAATGAAGAAATGGGATATCTTTTGGACAAATCCCAAAGTTAGGAAATAAGAAGGAAAGAAGAAACAACAAATATGATGGAAAGAGATTCAGTAAAGTACTATAATGGAATTCAAATATATATATGTAATTTAAAATATAAACTCCTCCTCTGAGAATTATTCATTACTCCCTTCTGAGCCAGCATATCTAAATTCTATATTAATACCATATGACTCCAAATACCCACCCCACATCCAAGACTGAAGCTGGTTGGCTCACAATAGACATCTGGTTAAAGCAAGGCCAATCCAATCCTCTCTCAATGGATTTTAAATAATTAGTTAATACTTTCATTAATTGATATTATAGCTTAAAGGTGGCTTTTGAAGAAATGTTGTTCAAGACAACAAAACACCCTAAAGCAGAAAGCTAGCTTTTTACCATTGTAACCCTTCATCAATGTTTATTGGATAATTTACTTTTGTATAGCCAGATTCCCTATCTTTTTAGAGTTTATAGTCAAGTGTAGATACAGACTTATATCTGTTGACCATTTTATTGCCAGTATCTTTTAGAGACCACATAGTGAATACTGAGTGAATGAATGAGGTCTGGCTATACCTTTTGCTCTCAAGCTCCACAAGATAGCCCTATATATTGTTCCATTACATTTTTATTTTGCTTCAGTTAAACTGAATGTGCCTGTTCCATGCAAACAAACAATCCTAGATTGAGATATTTAATAGTACTAATAAATACATGAATGAAAAAAAAAACAACCTAGGTATTGGCTACATTTTGGATAAGTTTGATATGGGAAAGTAGTGAAAAAATGGAATGGAAACAGACTGAGATTTTGAATAACCAAATAACCTTAAGAATTAAAGAATTACGAATAGGAAATCTGGGGAGATCCAAGATGGCTGCGCCCAGGTGAACACCTAGCTGCAGTCGCACACAACAATT